TGTAGCCCATCGAATACAGTCCGTTGTGTCCGACTCCAATTGCTTTCTGATATTCGCACTTACTTTCGCGCACCATCTCGGACTTGTATTTACTAGTTTTACAACTCGTGTGGTGAATGACTGGAACAGCTTACCTGAGCTAGTCATCCTTGCGCAAACAGCAGAAATTTCTTAAACGATTGCTAGACATCTATTTACTGGACAAATATGCGTCTTGCTATGTTGACTGTGACCGCAATGCTCCCTTGTGGAACACTACCGCATCAACTCACATGATCCCTACAGTGAGCGGGGAGTGATGGGGCTGACAAAATCTCCTTTCTGCTCTCTACAAACCAATGAACTCACAGCGTTTTTACAGCACTTTTTGCTGTAGTGTGCTGGTGGCGAAATCACCCCGGGGACATTTGACTACTAGATCAACTCGGACTGTCTGCCGTGCTTCGCCGAGTTTTTCATGCCCGATACCAAAGACCAGGGGAAACCGTTGAAGCATGCGCCCGAGAACTGCGAAGGGTGGCCGTAACCGCTTTTGCGGATGAACCACCGGTGCAGCAGTACAGCTGCATCCTAAGACAGGTAATAGAAGACGTCCAAACGCCCTGTTCAAAAAGTGAGTTCCTGTTACGCCCCGGGGCGTCTCGAGGCAGCCATGAGTGTCTGAACAATTAGAACAAGTGGATCCACCCATGGGCGCCATGGAATCGTTGCTGCACTTTGAGAGAAAACAATCGCTCCAGCCACAGGTAACCTGAACGATGACTTCGTAACAGTGTCTTCCCACGATGGTGACTCGCGACCGTTGATGCAATCGGGTTTTCGAAGTCCCCGCTTTCGTCTGCGGATCTGAGGAAATTTCGAGCCGCGTCCTGCCAGCAGGAGTCTTCAAGATGAGTGCGACTTCATTATGTCAAATTTCATGCCCGCGCTTACTTCCAAAACGACTGCCTTCACATTGACAGTAGAGTAGCATGGTGCAAGGGTCGAACTTGCATGTCTGATTGACACTGAAACGTCAGTCTAGTCAGATCCAACATAGCCAATCCGCTGACATACTGCGTGCGGACGCCTTGCTGTTATCGTCTGACCGCAGCTAACGAAGAGCCCCTGACGGTCAGGGAATCTACCATAACCCAGGTACGTGTTGCTAACGAGGAGTTTCTTCACGAGTTCATTTTCGCTAACAAAATTGCCTTTGCCGTAATTATTGAAATGTATTTGTCTAGACGTCTGAATTGTCAACTGGATTTAGACATGCCATCTGATCACCGACAGCTGCGTTGTATTACTCAGACCCGGCCAGACTGACAGTTCCGAAACTTGCGCTTTTGTGGGCCTCTCAAAGAACGTGTGAGTGCATTTGTCCATCCACCCGGTCTGCCAGCTGATGAGTGAACACTGGAAAAGCTTAACAATGTGTTTCTAACTCATTCTGATGCATTGGCCTGGTAGCTGGACACCTGGACCGAAGCAACGTGAAATACCTAATCGATACTGGGGGTGCGACTCTGATTTCACTACACTGATAGGGCAAGTTACAAAAGCTCATCGACAAGATGTTGGAGAAGGTTATACAGCTCTCCACTTCCCCATGAGCAGCCCCAGTCGTCTTAGTGAAAAAGAAAGACGGTGCGAATAGAAATTGGGTGTTGCTCGCCCGAAATCACTACACTACTATGACGCGTTTCGCTGTTATTACATCTCATCAGATAGAGTTAGTATGCATCGAACCCGGCGCCATTCGGATGTTAGTTGTGACCGCGACCCCTAAGCCACCGGGTCACGACAAACAACACTTGTCACAGCGGTTTAATGAACGATGTTGTGGGTCAGTTGAAGTACACGTTGTGTGGATGGATTGCGACGCGCAACCTCAATGTTGGCCGCGATTCCCATCGAAGTGAACCTATGTCTTTCCATCATGACGACCGTAGCTGATGCAAATAGAAATTGGGTATTGCCCAATGGCAAGGCGAAAACAACCCGACCTGTCACTACATGCTGGGGAGTTCATTTTGGACACGGATGCCAGCGATCAGGCCATTGGAGCTGTTTTGTCACAGAAAGACCGGGATGGCATTTAAAGTGGTTTCTTACACCAGTAGAAGCTTCACCTCAAGAGAATGGAACTATTGTACTACCAGGAAAGAACTGTTAACCTGTCTTTTTCATAAAACAAAATGGACATTGTTTTCTATAACGGAAGTTTGTGGTGCACACGGATCATCAATTGCTACGCTGGTTGCAGAACTTCAGAGACCCGTAGGGACAGGTTTCCAGATGTCAAGTGCAATTTCAAGAATACGACTTCGAATGTAAACCTCGCTCTGGTAAGCAACATTCGGATGCGTTATCACAGATTCCCCCGCGCAGTCACGGAGATTGCCCTATGTACATTATACAACACGTAGCGCCAGTTAACCTCTAGACTGTTGAGTACGGCCGTTGGCAGGAGGTATAATAGTCAGATCCAGACTTATGATTTATATGTGATAAGCAGCACTCCGGCGGCGATAAACCTACCTCGAAAGAAATGGAGGGAAGTAGCTACGAAGCTCTGTGTTTGTGGGCGATATGGGACAAGCTCGCCACCGAAGAGGGCGTGTTGGCTTTTGATTTCGGCCCAGCGTACCTGAGGAGGATCGTAGTTCCACAGGTATTACTTACCGAAGTGCTGTCGGCACTGCACCAACAACTGGGATACGTCGGAGTCAATCAACTCAAGGCGATGGCGCGCGGACGATTCTGGGGGCCACATGAACGAAGAGACGTAGTCAACTTTTGCCAAACGTGTGAAAGGAGCGTCACACTCAAAATTCCACGAATCGCTCACAGGGCATTGCTACAATCCATGACGGCGGGGTATCCGAACGAAATACGGAGAGCAGACCTCATTGGTCCTCTCTCGGAAGCGCCGCGGAGAAATCGATACGTCCTAGTCATGGTAGATTAGTTCACCAAATGGTGTGAAGCCATCCCGATCCCGTAAGCTGACAGCCACGGTGGCAACAGCAATGTCGAACCACTGGGTTTGCCACTGGTGAGCGCCGGAGCAACTGCATCCTGATAGAAGATCGTGTTTCGAAAACTTAACGGTACAGTAGATGTGCCGGGTGCTCGGCATTGATAAAACGCGGACAACGGCCTACTATCCCCAAGGAGAAGGACAGGTGGAACGCACGAATCGGTCGTGGAAATCATTGTTGAAGGGTTTCTTGGACCAGAACATCTATGAGTGGGATCCTCTGTCGCCTAAATGCTTACTGACTTATCGAATTACGGTCCGCTCTTCCACTGAGCAAACACCGTTGTTCATGTAGAAGGGTAGAGAGATTCGGCTACTTACGGACGTTCGACTTCCCACATCACAGGTGTGTCCGTCCTTAGCAGACTATGTCCGTAGGCTCCTCGACTGTGTTCGATGAACGCATCAAGCTGCGCGCATTCATTTGGCGAACGCCCAACGAGGAAAAAAGGAATACTACGACTAGAAGGCTTTTGCTGTCCTATTGAAAGCAGGTGACCTCGTATATTTGCGTCGAGCACCAAAAACAGAAATGCAAACGAAGCTGCATCGTGCGTGGGTAGGTCCTTACTTTGTGGAGCGAGTAATCTCTGATTCGACTTGTGTGATTAAGGATCCAAGGAGCCCCGTCGGTCAGCCCATGGTTGTACACTTCAATAGGTCTAAACCGGCAATTCAGTTGAGGAACCACATAATAAAACACCAACCGAATTAGCGGTCGAAATGGAAGTAACGGTTCAATGGGACTATGGCGTGGTAACGTGGTTTGGTGTAACGAACGATCGAAACCATTTTTGGCGCGCGATCGAATTTGAATCGTTACTTTGACGACACCTTTTTCGTCTGCTTTTCAGAGGGTCAATTCTGTGCATTTACCGAAGGCCAAGAATCTGAAGATAACGATTAACTAGCCTACTTGTTGTATACTAGACGTTCCGTCTCAAACCTTGGAGTTCTACCTTGCTTGCATGTTATAGTAAATCTATCGCGGCAGTGTTACTATAGCTAGTCTACAGGTAAGATGTCATTGTGCATAGCCTAGTTTGTGTTTGTCGTTTCCTTTTATCTTTGCCTTCCCATTTCGTCTTTGATGTCCTTAGAGCAGCCATCTCCAGTTCGAGTCCGCGTAGCGGCGGGCGTCCTCGCGGTATACTCAGTGTGGTATGCCTCCGGTTGAGCATTCCGATGGCTTCTGGTTCCGAGGCGTACGTGGGTCTTAATAGACTGACGGACTGAAAGGCAAAAGAGATGTTTCGTAGGCGGATGGGCAACCACCTAGTAAGAGTCGGAACTGGATGGAGGGTACGCCTGTTACACCTCATGACGAGCTGGATAGCATTGTCCCAGCCGCTGATGAAGGACCGCGCGTAAGGTGACTGGATGGATGGCACGAGAGATGGCAGCTCTAACGATACTGAAGACGAAACGGGAAGGCCAACAGCAGGAAACGACAATCACAATCTAGGCTACGCTCAACGACATCTTATCTGTTGACTTGCTATAGCGATACTCCGACGCGCTACACTCAGCTCACTCGCGACTGGTGCTAGTCGCGCGGCAACGAAGCGTCTTTACGGTGTACAGCTGGCGATCACGTCTCCAGTGCGTTTCCGCCATCCTTTCAGTAACCTCGGGCTCTACTCTCCACCTACAATTCTGACAACGCCGTCCAGCTCACCATGAAGTGTAAGTCAGACGCACACTCCATCTAGCTCCAACTCTTACTAGGTGGTTGTCCAGCCGCCTAGGAAGTGTCTCTTTTGCCTTTCAGCCCCATCAGTCTATTACGGCTCACATACGGTCCGGAATCAGAAGCCCTCGGAACCCTCGACCGGATGCATACTAGTAAGATCCTTATATCTCGCGTAAACTGCCGTTGATTCTTCTTCACCTCCACGTTTCTTTAATGTGGTATCTTACTAGGTTGTTGTGTTATGAGAATCCAATCACTTACGTGGTGTTTTTTCCGTTGTAGCTCCCCAGGTCTATTCCGACCTACCTACACGTTGGACACGGAATCCCTCGGAATCTACGACCGGACGCATACTATAGTGCCAATGGCTGAGTACCTCAGGTCAGCGCTGAGCTATCTTGCAGGCTCTCCTTCATGCAAAACGGAGAACGAATTCGTTGGTAGTAACATTCTCGTTGGAAACCAGCATTTGCGAATAAAACGTGTAGTGGCAGAAGGTTAGAAGAGGGGAAACTTAATTACATGTATAGGAGGTTTTGGTGTTGTTTATGAAGCTCACGATAGCGTTAAAGGGACGCCTTACGCTCTCAAGGTATTACCTTTACTTATCATCACAAACTGTGACAGAGGATTTTATCTCATGACAAAGACACGAGTAATCTCATAATGCAGGAGATTGCACTTCTCGTAACTCGATGCCTTTTTTCTAGCTCATAGTATTCTATCATTAATAGAAAAGGCTCAGTGGTCATCCGAACATTATGCGCTTTTATCATGCGGCTTCTGTTTGCAAGGAAAAAGTGAAGGGTGTTAGCGCTGAATTCCTCATCGTAACTGAGTTGTGCCGAGGTAAGTTCTTCTATTTTGAACCCTTTGTGGGCAGTTCCATGGACAAATGCATTTGTGTAGTATCTTACTTTCTGTCATTTCCTTATGCCTTAATCTGATCTTATTCTGCTTGGGATTTCTAGCGGTCCGCTTTCTACGATTTTACAGGACGCTTCATAGGCCCGAACATCCGGTTTTCATTGCATCTAATTATGTCTGCATTCATGCAAGGAAAAGAGCAATGTGTGCGCCTGGTTTGCAGCCTATTATTTAAGCAGGCTGTTCGCGATAGCTTTGGATCGCTGCTGTTCTCCATCTATGTAAACGATATCCCACGAAAGCTTGGAGTATCATCGCTGTTAGTTACTGACATCCTGAAGCTATAGCATCATGAAAAACTGAAACCTGGTCCATCAGATCAACAAACATAACGAGGCTAGTTTTGTTCGGCCATCGCTGCTTGGTGGGAACACCGCGTGAACAATGAGCGTGTTCGGCGTCGTGTATTTAGTGCTGGTATAGCTAGTCAACGGTTCATCACCGTCCTATCATGCACTAAGTTCTGATTACTTGATCACGTGTTGCGCATATCAGCACATCGACCCCAGCAAAGTACGTTGTTTGCAGGTGTTAATGGAGGAAGAGGAGGAGAGGCTAACCGATGGTGTGATCAAGAGGAATGAGCTCCCTCGCTTCGAAGTTGACGTCGCCCATTGCTTCGCGACTACCGGCTTCTGGCCGAAAGGACAAGGCATCTACCTTGCAATCCGGAGGTCGCGGGTTCGAGCCTGCGTACTGGACCGGGCGACCCACAGTATCCTTAGTCTACGCGTGACTGTTGATGGTTGTGTAGCAGCAAGGCGTCAGTATTGTGTACCGGCTTATTGCTGACGCCAGTCTTGGGTCCTAAGGACGATGAAGATGCTTGGTTGGATGCACTTGATGTTATGATAAAGACTCATGTTGGGAATTTCTGCCCCTCCTCTCCTTTAACATCTCCTAACCACAATCTCATCCTTGGATGCATGGCATTATATCACTCTTCCTCTTTTATATTTTGCGATGATAAGTACCTATCTTTTGCGTATGTCTTATCTTTTTTGTATTGCAGCAACGAGACTGGACCCTAACGCGATGCGATGGTTTGCGTACCTTCTTGACCCATTTAGCTATACTGGGTGGTGCCTCCGGGACCCTCCAGAGCTACTCCCACCAGGTTGGTCAGTGGTTATAGGTCAGACAAACTCAGTCTCCTGGTCCTTCAGGTTGGGGGTTTGAAATGCAGTGGCGTCCATTTTTGTACAGCGAAATCATTACCACCTCCCCGCTGCCTTGCGGACAGGATTTTGAGCCAATGGCTTTGGTTGAGGACTCTTACCCTTTCTTCTGTCTTGGTCTGGGCGCCCCGGCACTAAGTATCTCAGCCCACCTACAACCATGACTATTTCTTCAGACTTTCTCTACATACTGCATCGGCCGCCGCGCAGATGATCAAGGGTCGCCTTATCTGCTGCATACAACAGGGTGGATAAGCGAAAACATGCTACTGCTGGTGCCTCCCTCCTTTCTTTTCCACCTGTTTCACTTACTCCCATTCCGACCCTCATTACTAACCTTCCTTCTATAATTCCCAGTTTAAATGACAGCAACCGAAGTGCCACTGGAGAAACATCTGCAGCCACCTTCCTGCAACGCCCACCGAACGCCTATCGGCAACACTCCCTTATAAGGCCACGCTGTCCCGTTTCCTTGGCGGCGTTTAACATTCGCACTCTAAGACGAATAGGTCAACAGGCTGCACTCGCACGCACCTTGGACACACTGGGTATTGATGTGTGTTGTGTGTCCGAAACTAGGATTAATGACCATAACGGGGTTATTGAATTAACTGCACCCGGCTTGTCCCCACGTTATTGGTTGCGCGCATCCGGAGACGCCGATGCAGCACTCACGGATCAAGCTGGTGTAGGTATCATTCTCAGCTCCAAGGCTGAGTCATCGTTGGTTGATTGGATTCCGGTGAACAGCCGTTTATGTGCAGCCCGTTTGACGACATCAGCTAAGGTTACTTAACGGAGTAGTACAAAACGCTGTTTGTTTGTGATTTCCGCTTATGCTCCCACCGACTGTAGTTCAAATGCTGCCAAGGTCACATCCCATCACGAACTGAACGCGTTACTACGCAGTGCTACTAGCCCAGCTTTTACAGTACTTGTTGGGGATATGAACGCACAAGTAGGGTATCAGAGCTCTTCAGAAGCTCAGCAGGGTGGTAGTTAGGGGTTTAACTCCGAACTGACTGACAACGGCGAGCATCTGCTGCAACTGTGTGCGGAGCACTAGTTGTTTCGTAGTAACACTCCTTTTAAACACAATGGGCGCCAAAGTCTAACTTGTCGTCCTCCTGTAGCTGTCCAGCGATGGACCCAAATTGACCACATAGCCATAAGTTACAGGTGGCGTGGCTCCATTTTGGACTGCCGCTCGTACTGGAGTACCTGCGTCGACTCTGATTATGCCTTGGTACGCTGTCGTTTCTCCACGAGCCTCGCCAGGAGGCGCACCAAATGTCTCCTTCGGTTGGCAACTGAAAAATTTAAAACAGTTAGTCCCCTTCAGTAGTTTGAACAACGAAATGAGAAGACGAATATTGGCAGATACTAGCATTTCGTATTATCTCGTCAGTACCAATACAATAACAGGGAAATTCTTTTATATGTCTTACAGGGCACAGGCAAACCAATCAAATTTATTGTTGTGATCATTGTTATCAGATTACGTCCACGGCAACCGCAGGTTGACAACTAATTGCTTTTGGACACACAAAGCTGGTCTAATTCGGCTTATCGCGACGGCCTCGGCAAATCGTAAAAGGCGTGCATTAGTATGACGTAACAAGATCCGGAAAGCTGATAAGGGATTGACCTGGTGACGAGTCGCCAAGATGTGCCTGCCTATGGAGGACGCTGGCGGCTTACGCGAACACGTATCATCGGAGGTGGATTGGGTAACTTCACGCTGAACCCAGTTTGGTAGGTGTTCCTTCACTCGGGAATCTAAAACCCGTTCGGTCCTGCCGATGTAACTGATACCACAGTCACACACGAATTGGTAGACACAATGGGATTTGGCGCCGACGGGTTCATCTTCCTTTACTGAAGGTAACGGCAACTTTCGGGTTCTGTTGATAATTACCGCCTCCGCAGCACAGTATGTACGCTGAATGGCCGAGACAATCCGTTTGGTTATTCTTTTCGTTGCAGTGTTACCCTTGAATGGGAGCTCAATGTACACCTTCTTCTTAGGGGCTGTCAACACCATCTCCTTGGGCGGTCTAACTTGGCTATGTTTGTCTATGAATCGCTTTGGGTAGCCATTCTCCATAAGTGTCTTAGTGATCAGCTCTAACTCTTCAGCCAGGCAGTCGTTGGAGCAGATACGTCTGGCCCGAGTGAATAATGTTTTTATTAGCGCGCGCTTGTGTGCCATCGGTGAGAAGCTAGTGAAGTGTAGATATTGGCCGGACCACGTTGGCTTCCGGTATACAGATCGCTTAATCAGCCCATTATCCCTGCGACTCATGAGAATGTCGAGGTTCGGAAGGCGCCCATTCGATTCGAATTCAAAAGTCACATTCAGGTTGTCATGAACATTATTAAGTTGATCTACTAGTTGTTCGATTTGCATCTTTGTTTTCGGTTCCTCAAAGATGCAAATCGAACAACTAGTAGATCAACTTAATAATGTTCATGACAACCTGAATGTGACTTTTGAATTCGAATCGAATGGGCGCCTTCCGAACCTCGACATTCTCATGAGTCGCAGGGATAATGGGCTGATTAAGCGATCTGTATACCGGAAGCCAACGTGGTCCGGCCAATATCTACACTTCACTAGCTTCTCACCGATGGCACACAAGCGCGCGCTAATAAAAACATTATTCACTCGGGCCAGACGTATCTGCTCCAACGACTGCCTGGCTGAAGAGTTAGAGCTGATCACTAAGACACTTATGGAGAATGGCTACCCAAAGCGATTCATAGACAAACATAGCCAAGTTAGACCGCCCAAGGAGATGGTGTTGACAGCCCCTAAGAAGAAGGTGTACATTGAGCTCCCATTCAAGGGTAACACTGCAACGAAAAGAATAACCAAACGGATTGTCTCGGCCATTCAGCGTACATACTGTGCTGCGGAGGCGGTAATTATCAACAGAACCCGAAAGTTGCCGTTACCTTCAGTAAAGGAAGATGAACCCGTCGGCGCCAAATCCCATTGTGTCTACCAATTCGTGTGTGACTGTGGTATCAGTTACATCGGCAGGACCGAACGGGTTTTAGATTCCCGAGTGAAGGAACACCTACCAAACTGGGTTCAGCGTGAAGTTACCCAATCCACCTCCGATGATACGTGTTCGCGTAAGCCGCCAGCGTCCTCCATAGGCAGGCACATCTTGGCGACTCGTCACCAGGTCAATCCCTTATCAGCTTTCCGGATCTTGTTACGTCATACTAATGCACGCCTTTTACGATTTGCCGAGGCCGTCGCGATAAGCCGAATTAGACCAGCTTTGTGTGTCCAAAAGCAATTAGTTGTCAACCTGCGGTTGCCGTGGACGTAATCTGATAACAATGATCACAACAATAAATTTGATTGGTTTGCCTGTGCCCTGTAAGACATATAAAAGAATTTCCCTGTTATTGTATTGGTACTGACGAGATAATACGAAATGCTAGTATCTGCCAATATTCGTCTTCTCATTTCGTTGTTCAAACTGAAAAATTGTCTCAGCCCTCGAACATGTAAGCCTATCAAGACGCATTGCATACCGAACTTTCGCTCTCTTGTCCTAATGACACTGAGCTTCAGTGGATTGGATCTCGGCCGCTATGCACGACGCATGAGCCTCTAGTTATGCCACTATCAATCGTCACCACACTAGTCACTGGATATCCGAGAGGTCGGTGAACCTGTTGGAATCTAGAAGAAACCTCCCGGCTGGCTCTGAGCACGATGTGACC